CCATAGACATGATTCCAACTCTAAAGTTTTCCAATGCCAATTCCATCTCGATGTGATGGATGCATCACATTCATGCGGTTCACAAGATGCATAAAAATTGTGACTTCATACCGAAAAAGGCTTTCGCCCCGCTTTATATATAAAGCACCAAACCACAAAGACCATGATACAAACTCACGCCACCACCGCACACGACACACACACCCAAGGCAAGATACAAGGGTGCCGGGCACCGCCACACCACCCCAACGACTACCAAGCCACTACAAATGCGCGAGGACGAACTGCTTGGAGCCACCAGAGACCTCCGAGGGGAGGGGAGACGGGAACGACGGAACCAGGACTCCAAGATGGTGCCTCCAAGAAGGGAACGACCACGATAGCCGCCACGATCCGATCCCAAAGATCGGGTTTTCACCTGGAGCAACTCGAAGGAGAAAGGCCACTGCGACAGAGCCTACAGGAAGGATACGGTGTCCACGGACACCGCCACCGTCGGCCAATACAAGATTGGGCAGGTAATGAACCCCAGCACGCCCACCCCTCCAAAGCAACCTAGCTCCGTCAACCACCAGCGACCACCCACCCGCGTGGCCGTGGCCGCTCACCCGCACCCGAGGCGCAAGTCCCGCCCACGAACTTCGTGCCTCCCACCGCCGGGGCCGCCGCGCTGCATCCAGACACCCCCAAGACCAACCAAAGTGATCAGCTTGGGCCAAAGGGCGCACCCGACCGAAGAAACCGCGGCATACATCCCGCCTCGAACAACGCCGGAGTTGCGTCAGCCCACACATGGCCGGGGAACGGGGGAGGAGGGGGAGCGGACACATCCGGGCCGGCACACCCCTGTGCCAGCGACGGGTGGCCCGGGCTCGGCGGCGCCTCCCGTCCCTCCAGCCTGCCTCCCCACCGGATAACTCGGTGTCGCCCCACCTCGGCGGCGACCGCAGCTCCACGCGAGGCCACCAACATACACCCGCCCGCCGGCAAGGAGAGATCCCGAGGGCCGCCACCAATCGCGAAGGAAGCTCACCGAGGAGCCCATCTGCGCGGCCCACCGTCGTCCAGCCGCCGAAGCTTCGGATCCCGGCCAGCCCGCCCACCAACCAACCGCTGCCGCGTCGCACCACCACCCGCCGTGGCCATGGCAGGGGCAGAGACTAGCAGCCCGCGCCGCCAGGTCCCAGATCCGGCCTCGACCCGTGCCGAAGGACCCAGATCTGGCGACCAAGGCACGCCCACCACCGCCGTGCCGGTCATGCCGCCGCCACGAAGTCGCCGCCAGCAGGCTCCAGCTCGCCGCCACGCTGCCACGCCCGCCGCCAGCGCCGCATCCCAGGCGGCCGCCCCGACCCGCGCCGGAGGCCCTCGCCGAGGAGACAAGGCAGCCCCGCCGCCGCCGGCGCCTACCAGGCTTCGCCCGGCGCGCCCTCTCTGGCGGCGGCGAGGGAGAGGAGGGAGGAGGAGGGGAAGCCCGCCGGCGGCGCTAGGGTTTCTCCCGAGACGCGCGCGCGGGGCGCGTCGCGGGAGCGAGAGGGAGGAGGGGCTCTTTTTCTTTTCCAGGACGGTTCTTTCGCCCCATCTCTGTGACTTCATATAGAGGCTAACATGGATAAACACAGAAATTAAACGCACCGAGTATGTGTAAAGGAAAGAAAGGAGCCTTCCGTCAAACTGCATGCGCACATTATTTCTCAACCAGCTGATTCGAAAACAGAGTCAAGGACTCTTAATAGTTGTACCCGAATGATGGTTTTGCTGGCAACACGCCACTACTGCAAGGAAGACGACAGTAAAATAAATCTGATTATTGAATGGCCATGACGGTCATACATCTCAGCAACCACAAAGGCAGAGAACCAAGTGAATGGTATGCTCCTTCTGAATGTTGTAGTCTGCCAGGGTGCAGCCACCCTCAAGCTGCCTGCCAGCAAAGATGAGGCGCTGCTGGTTTGGGGTAACGCCTTCCTTCTTGTAGATCTCCACCTTGACATTGTCGATGGTATACGTGCTCCCAACCTCAAGAGCAATATTCTTTCCTGTCAACGTCTTCACGAAGATCTGCATCATATTTGTACCTCTTGGACAAGGGTGGAGGACGAGGAGAAGGGTGGACTCCTTCATAATGTTGTGGTCGGCCAAAGTGTGCTTCCCGTCCTCCAGCTGTTTGTTGGCAAAGATGAGGCACAGCTGACCCTTCGGAAGGCCAGTATGATCTTGGATCTTGGCCTTCACATTGTCAATGGTATCCATGTTATCGACCTCGAGAGTAATTCTGATGCCAGCGAGCACATCCTTTACGTAGATTTGCATATTTTCGTGGAGGTCAAGTGTGGATTCATGTTGGATGCCATAATCGGCTAGTGTAAGGTTATCCTCTAAATGCACCCCGTCAAACACGAGGTGATACTGCTCCTGGATCTTTTCTTTCACAGTGTGTAGGGTATCTGATGGCCGGACCTTGAGGCAGATTGTCCTGCCAGTGGGATTCTTGACAAATATGTACATTCCCAGTGAGCTAGAAAATCAAAGATCACCAATTGTTAGCCACTTTTATAAAGTAAGACTGTAGAACAGTGCACAAAAACATCAAAAATTTCCAGCATGCAGTAGAAGTAAGAGCCCATTATTTAGTTAAATCTACTCTTATATAGGTACCTTGTTTATACTTAACAAGGTATGATACTAAGCCTATCATGGGAAGTTAAGTCTTGAACAATCATAAAAAAAATACATGCATGAGGGATCTAATTGTTGTTGTCGTTAGATTTATTAGGTTGATCCACTAGCATCCGTCCGATGTACACATGAGAATCTTTTACCATGCAACATGCATTATCGCATTCTAAGTAGGATTTAAATCACATTTCTTGCACATCAACATTCATAAGAAAAGGCCCAGCACTATGCAACCATGCGCAGCAAACATTTCACCGCAACATGCAGACATTCACTAGAATTTTCATTCTACTATGCTACATATTTTGCAAATAGACATTCCACGTCGGATACGGTGCCGGCGAGGACTCGAGGCCTTTTGTCTCGCGATCCGATCGGAGTCCGTCGCGGTGGTTCACTCCGTCGGAAGCTGCGCCGGTGATGGTGCCGGCGCCCGGCGAGGCGACGGTTGCTGGGGCTTCAGGCCATGTTTTGAGGAGGCGGTTTGCAGCACTTATTCGTCTCGCGCCTCCGGCGAGATGGAGTCCTAGCGGAGACATGGAGCCATCCAATCTGTGGGGACTATCCCCGGCTGATGCGCCGGAACTCAACCCTTTATTCCTGTTTGCTGGGACAGGACTACATGTGGTATACAAAACCTTTGAAGGCGATGCAAATAGATGGTTTCTCGAGGTCTGCTAGAGCAGACGGCGAGCGGCCGGCCGTCTTGATGGCATCGGTGAGCCTGGAGTGTTGGTGCGTGTTTTGTGTTTCTGTGGGGTTCACGTTGCTTCGGTTGCTGGAACTGGAAAGACTGTTTCGTATTTGTGTCTGACGTGTTTGTACTGTTTTGTTTTCTGTATGAATACATGAGGCGTAGATGTCATTTTCTCAATGAAAAAACATACATCTTGGCTTTGCTGCAATTAGCAAGCTACATCAATTATGAACTGGCCTGCTATGATGCAACGATGGTGACTGCATAGGTATGCTCACGTCTGGGCTAATGATTTTGTTTCTGGATTAATCATTGAATTGATCTTCTCCTCCCCGCTCCTCCCTCTGTCGCTCCCACGGCGGCAGGGGAGGAACCCTAGCCGCCCCCACTAGCAGCCCTCCTTCTCCTTCTCCCTCCTCGCCGCCGCCTGCTCGCGCCGGCGAGCAAAGCCCGGCCGGCCTAGGCGGCGGCGGGGCGATTTCTCCCCCTCGCGTGGTGGGGTTGCCACGGGCAGATCCAATTGGGCCGGGGCGCGTCGTGGTGCGGGACGGCGCGGCGGCGCTGTGGCGGCGACTGGCGGCGGTGCTGGGCGTCTCCTGGTGGTGCGGAGGGCTGCACGGGGGCGGTGGAGCGCGTTGGTGCTGGCGACGGTCCTTTGTTCGCGGGATCCAGGCGGCGCGGGAGCCGGGAGGTGGGCTCTCTTCCGTTGGTCGCGGTGGGGTGTCCTTGGTCAGGTCCGGCCGGACCTGACTCCGGTCTACTCCGGCGCGGTGCGGGAGGTGGCGGAGACGAGGTCGGTCCTGCTGCCGGGCGCGAGACAAACTCGGCCCTGCTGCCGGGCGCGAGACGAGATCAGTCCCGCAGCACCGGGCGCGAGACAGACGATGGCCCACAACTAGGAGAGGGCCAGCCCTTTGACGAAGGTAGCATCCGAACGCCGAGGAGAGGAATCAAAGGCCAAAACAGGCCGCTTCCCGACGGGCCGATGCCGGAGATGTCCGGGCGCCGCCGTGAAACGACCCAAACCACCGCCATGAGCCACCACCACGCCGCGGCAGCCCACATCCATGTCGAGACCCCGAGGGGAAGCGCCGAGCCGTCCTGCAGCTGCCGTGGAGCGCCGCCGAGGTCGCAGCCCGCCTCCACGCCGCCCGCCTGCGCCAGATCCCAAACCGGGAGCCGCCGCCGCCACGAGCATGCCAGCCACCGCGCAGCCTGCGCCCCAGCCCCGCTCGCGCCCGACAGCAGGACCGGCCTCGTCTCCTGCCCGGGCAGCAGGACTGAGCCCGTCTCGCGCCCGGTGCAGCAGGACAGGATGATGGAGGCCAGTTTCGGCCGGCCTCTTGGGTCTCGGCGCTGGGGTCGCCCAGGGGTGCGAAAGACGGGCCTTTCCACTTGTCTCTTTGGTTGGAGTAGCGGCTAGTCTCGGGTGAGGTGGTGTCAAGGTCTTGGATGCGAGGGCGGCGGCCCTGGTGGTAGGAGCACGGTGCTCATGGGCAGAGCCCGTGGCTTGGTGCTGCCTGGTGCCCATGGCCGTGTGGGCGGCATGGTTGCCGGGGTGTGGCGTTCGGTGGTGGTGATTGTCGGCCGGGGTGAAAACCTGCTCTATCTTCGGACGGACCGGCGGCGGCGAATCGTTCCCTTCTTGAAGGCGTCGTCGCGGCCTTCATTGCCCGTCGTGTTGCTCGATAGGAAACCCAGACCCTCGTGTCGGGCGGTGGCGGCGCTCCGGTGTCGTTCACTTCCTGAAGGCGCCACCTTGGAGTACACGGTTCGCCATATGCGGCTTCACCTCGTGGCGGTGGCGTGTTCACGGCCGAGATCTCCGGTTGCTCTTGTAGTGGTAGGGGTGGTGTTGCTACGCTCAGCATCTTTATATTCTGCCTTGGGTGTGTGGGTTGTATTGGCGTGCGTCTGTACCGGGTTGTTGATGATCTTTGCTTTATATATAAAGTGGGGCGAAAGCCTTTTTTGTTTAATTGATCTTCTCCAGTCGCCACTTGCTGTTCGGAGTGATTCTAGGAACAATTCTGAGATATATTTAGGATCTGTTGATTGATTTAGGCTGCGCATGTCTTGGTTAATCAATCCGTTTGTTGTCTGCATTATTTTAAACGATGATCAGGGTTAGAGTACGCTTGGTAACTGGTAAGCACTATTATATGATGATTTTTCTACTTCTTTGTCTATATTTGTGCAGATATACAATGGATGGAGATGGCTTAATATTAATCTTCTTTTCTGTAATTGTGCATGCTGAATTTGGTATTCCCCTATCGAACTATCCAATTCAACATAATCTCATCACCAAGTTGATCAGCTCAGGTACACTAATTTTCAAATATGTGTATTTATTATTCATAGAGCTTTGTTTTGCAATTTTCATAAAACTACGTCTGACGTGTTTGTACAGTTTTGATTCAGTAAATATTGTTACAACTACACTTAATCAAATATAATAAGTCATATGTAGTTTTGATTTTGGTTCTCATGTTACCAACACAAATTTTCATCAACCAATTCCCGCAGCAACGTGCGGGGTATCCTCTAGTTAAACAACACAAGCATCATGTTCGGAAGCGCGTGGACAATCGTAGACGATCGATCGAAAAATTTAGAAGCACAAGCTTCCAACCTTCTTGCCAAGGAAACACAGAACCAGATCGATTCCTCAACTTGTCTCACGCACAGTCATGGCCGCCGCTGTAATCTGGCGTTTCTTCTGATTAAACTCAACGCAAAAAATAAAAATAAAAAAACCTTCCCCGATACACGACCGGATGGCCTTATAAATAGTGCACGCCGGCACAAAGTTGTACCAAACCTGGACTCCTACGACTTTTGAAGACTAATTGGACTCAAAAGCTAGCTAGACACGTACTGGTACATTGCACGTATGGTACTAGTACTAACTGAAACAAACCGGTTTGGACTACAAAGAAAACTCTCTCTCCTATCTTAACAAACCAATCACTATTAACAAATTTAAAAATACGGCAAGCTGATAACAAAAGTTCAAAACAAGCTAGTACTGCTCCCTTGAATGCTCACGTAGATGTGTTTGCCTGCATGGAGTTCTGAAACGTGGCTGGACATCCTCCGGTGCAACAAGTTGGACATGAACACGTTCAATGGAAATATGTGTTATGGTCTTGCTGCAATGTACATCAGTACCTTGTTTCTTTTTCTCATAGCGTCTCACAGGAACTATATACTTTTCGGTATTTCTCTGGTTCACCTTACTAAAAATATTTTTAACGATGGCATTTGGGGTCACATCATCCTCCCTTCCTTGAAAGGAAACCGCCTCGGTTTCAACCTATACCTTGCAGTTTTTTCTTGAACACCTCAATGGTACACTTCATATTCTAGCATCCTTGGGAAGAACACAATAGAATTCACCCTTATGCATAAAAGTGTACTTGTTTGTTCGTCCATGATGAAGAGTGAGGGAGTCCTGGACTAGGGGGTGTCCGGATAGCCGGACTATCATCATCGGCCGGACTCCAAGACTATGAAGTTACAAGATTGAAGACTTCGTCCCGTGTCCGGATGGGACTTTCCTTGGCGTGGAAGGCAAGCTTGGCAATGCGGATATGTAGATCTCCTACCATTGTAACCGACTCTGTGTAACCCTAGCCCTCTCCGGTGTCTATATAAACCGGAGGGTTTTAGTCCGTAGGACGGACAACCA